TTTATTAGAGATTGCCAAAATGTATTCCTAAATAACTTATATTTTGCAAGAACATTATAAACAAATTAGCTTTCCTATTGTATTAAGTCCTTCAAACACAGTGGGGCGATACTTTGGAGTTTGTATTTTTTTTAAAAAAAAAGCATGCAATTTTATTTTTAAAATTTTCAGTTCCCTATGGCATTTTATCTGAGCACTATTTTCTAAGCCTTAGGTGTGGGACTGGCTTTCACAATCTGTTGTTTGGCAGGCTCTGGTTTTCTATAGTGGACTCTGTGCAAAGAGAAGATTTCCTGATGAATGGTGAAGTCTGCTCATTTCTTTAGAACTGATGTTTATAGATTGTTGTTACTGATTTTACTTTCTTGTCCTTGGATGCCTTTTTGATTGTTTGTTATTTTGTATTTTGTTTTCAACTTTTTATTACAATTCAGTTTTGTTTATTTATGTGTGTATTATGTGAAATTATGTGTGTGTGTGTGTGTAGTATGCATGTTTCTGTGTCTGGGTACAAATTTACTGCCCACATTTTAGTCTTTTTTGACCACAGGAGCAAACTTTAGACTGTTAAGCTACACCTGGATCCAGCTCTGTAGACTGGCTCTACCCACTCTAGGATCCTAAAAGCAAAGCCCAAAGCTTGTAGCTCTGTTGGAGGTGTGTGACTAGGAACTGCATTCAAACCCCATAACTCTATAAAGCTGATGCTATGCTTGAATATGGCAGAAGCTTTTTACTTAGTTTTTTGTTTCTATTTAGCATGAAAAATGCTCTTTAAATGCTCTGCAGTACAGCAGGCTTTCTTAAAGGAGCCATCTCTCTCTCTCTCTCTCTCTCTCTCTCTCTCTCTCTCTCTCTCTTAGCTTTCTCAGGCTCTACATGAAAATTAGAGTCTCACATTGGTACGCCAAAATGTAGTTAGTTATTATTTTTTTTTCTGCTTACTCTTTACTCTTTTAGTCTTTTGGGAGACTGTCACTCAGCTTCCAAATAAATCACTCACTCGGAGGCTTATTCTTACTTGCTTCTAATAAGCTTTTAATTTAAATAATCCCATTTACTTTTGCCTCTGGACATTTTCCTTTTCTTACTTCTTCATATCTTACATTGATTCTTATTCTGTCGCTGGTTGTGTGGCTGGGTGGTTGGCCACTAATGTCCTCTCTCCTTTTCTTGTTCCTTCTCCTCCTCCTAGACTTCTCCTTCTATTTAAACTCTCTGTCTGCTAGTCTTCCCTATCCTTTCTCCTGCCTCCTTGTTGGCTATTCAGCTCTTTATTAAACCATTAAGTGTTTTAGACAGGTAAAAAAAAGAATCACAGCTTCACTGATAAACAAATACAACATAAACAAAATAATATATTTTTACATCACTAAACAAATGTTCCACAGCATAAACAAAAGTAACACACATTAAAATAATATTCTACAACTTTGCTATGTTAGTCAACTGTATTACACATTTTTTTCTCTTGTTGCTCTAAAATACATTTTGAGAACTTCACACATTAGGAATGTATTTTTACATAACTTCCCTTGTTTTCCTCCTCCCCTTTCCAAATTCATACCCCTCCCATCCTCAATGGATATACTACTTACTGAGTCCATTTAGCATTGGTTCCATGGATATATGTCCAGGATTGACCAGTCAAAAGTGAAATACTCATGCAGAAGCTCCTCTCTGGAGGACACTGATACTCTTCCAGCAACCACTGACATCCTGCAGCTTTTCATTTCATTTGTTTTCAATCTATTCCACAAGGTTGGACCTTGTGGGAATTCTCCAATCTGTGTCAGCATGTCAATTAATGGTGTCATTATGTAAGTCTTCTTCAGGAAATCTTTTTGTTGAGCTTTGTGCTGAAGTTCTGTTGTGTCTAGAAGCTCAAGGCATTCTAATCTCCAACTCTCACAGTGTTTCTGGTCCCTTTCTCGGATATCCCCTGAAGCTTTGACTTAGTTTGGTGACATGTTAAAGATATATCAGTTGGAGTAGGCACCTCATGGTTAATTTTCTGCATTCAAGTATGTTGTAGATCTTCTGGAAAAGTTTCCATCTGTTGCACTAAGATGCTTCTTTGATACTAAGCTCATCACTGAGTTTAGAGAGCTTTAGAATACTATAAAGTTAGCAAATTGGGAATTCTATGTTCTCTTTTAGGGTCTATGACCTCTATAACCATGAAAAGTTGGCTATGTCATAACTAACGGGTGTGAATTTCATTCCAGAAACTGTTATTTCTCTCAATTAGACAGCTGTTGTTTTATCCCAAGATAAAAACGTCACTATTGGATTGTTGAGTATTTCTTGCTAAACCAATTGTTCCTGTGGTTTATGAGTTACCCAGCTGTGTAGGCTCTGTTTTCCCCACTCGGCAGCTTAGTTTTCCCCACTCGGCAGCTTATATAAAACCTTCCTACACAATGAGAGATATTCCTCAGAGAGGAGGCTACCAGCTTGAGTTCTAAATAAATTCTTTCAAATCCATGTACAGATCACATAATGTCTTCAGAAATACCAGTCTTTTTCCAACATCTGAAAGTAACCCGTGCAATGACAAGAGCCCATATTGTTTTTGAGGACAACTGCATTCCTTCATTCAAGAACTGGAGTGAAGGATTCCCACGGCTGACACTGGCATTAGATAGTTCATGATCCTTGGTAAGAGTACCATGGAATCACATAATGTAACTCAAATAAATATATATAATCACGTATGTATCCATACATGTATTATGTATATTATTTATTTACACCATGTGGTGGTTCTATTGATAATTTCTTCCAAAGGTTCTGGTTCCCAGTTTATGGTACTGATTGGGGAAGTCTAGGAAGATGAACCATTGATGGAATAAATAAGTTACTGGATCAAGAATTGAGGTTCCATAGATTTGCATCATTCCCAGTCATTTTTTTTTTCCTGCTTACTGTTTGAGTTTATCCTCCAGGTCTTTTGCCTCTTGTGGTTTTGGAATTACAAACCCTAATAAACCCCTTTCCTCTAAGTTGCTTTGATTGTGGCCCTTTATCAAAAGGTGAAAGAGTAAAGGGTACATATCCTTACTGTCATTTATCTATCTTCCCTTCCTCCTCACATTTTTACACTTTTATCCCTCCCAGCTAAAGACCCCATTTTCTCTTATTATTTTTGTAGCACCCAAATCATTCCATCACCTTATATTCCCTAGAGCTCTTTCTCCCTGCTTGTCCTCACGCTCCCTTTCTTCTTTCCTACTTTCTTCATTCACATCAACTTGTATACGGAAATCTAAAGATTTGAAATTAGTATCTACAAATAGGAATGAATATGCTGATATTGCTATTCCTGGGTCTGGATTACCCCCACTCAGTATGTTTTCCAGTTCCTTCTACTTACTAGTAAATATCACCATTTAAATACTCATTGTAGCGGAGTATAATTCCACTGCACGTGTGTGTCATACTCACTGCCTCGTTGATGTCTTCAGGGACTTGCTGATCATTTCCAAGTACAGTGTTTTATCCCTACATGTTCTTATATGTTCTAAAACCTTTCACTTGTTAATTTCTAGCTTCAGCCCCTGTCTTTTTAAAATTTTTTCCATCTGAAACATATTTCATTTTGGATAATTTCTGAGTTTCTGATAGATTTAACCTGCTGTTTCTGGGTGGAATATTCTCTCTGTACTTACCTGGTGAGGACATTTGATATATAACGCAGTTTAAGTTTGAAACACCTATGATGAATTGTATATGTGTGGTGGTGTTCACATCTAATATTGTTGTTCTGTGGAATTCTTTGCACCAACATTGATTGCACACCTCTGCTCTCATCCTTTCTCTTAATGTATTGTTCTTTCTTTTAATATATAAAGACCTTTGACATTGCTCTACTAGTTTTCAGTACAGCTGTTTTTTCTTGCTTCTCCTTTCTTTTTGTGTTCCAGTGAATGGCACTTCTTATAATCAGGAATTAAAGCAGGGTCTCTTGTTGGTCAGCACAGTTTTCAACTCATGTTGTAGCTAATTCATCCCTTGAATTTCTCATCGTCTGAATTCCATCTCCCCAGTATTGGGATGATAGGTACTCCATGATGTCATGATATCAAGATTCCATCTTGATATCAAAATGAGTTTTTTTCCAGACTTTCATATTTATATTCTACCAAAGATGGCAAAACATAGGCCCCTCCAAACATGGTTCCTAAAATGCAGGAAGCAGCTCCTTCCAGGCGACCCAGTGGCAGCTAAATGAGTGTGTTACTTGAGGGCAAAGGAGAAAACACGTACATGCCCGGAGGGCCGCTTCTCTGGCAGCTGCATACGCATTTGGCAATGATTGTGGTTATATCAATTCTCCTAGTGTACTTGTTCTTCATGTTCTTTTCTCCTTCCACACCAGTGGCTTCTGAAAATATGGGTGTGCTGTAGAATAATATGAGTCTTCCTAATCTGATAGAGTGGGCAGGCATTAAAGCTGGACAGCAGGTCATGGGAAAAAGCTGACTAATGAAAGAATTGAAGAAATTTGGGAAAAACTCAGAAATTGTTTTTTGCCTGATTATGAAACTTGGCAAAAAGAATTATACTGAAAAATAAAGAAACGTGGCTATGATGAATAAAGTTTCTGAAGAACCTAGGGCTTTAGGGCTGACTGCCTACAACTTTGTAAATCAAAATGATATGTATTGGAATTGTGAGGACCAACAATGGAAAAGGTACAACAATGGAGTAAAATCCATTGAACTATGCTTCTTGAAACCCCAAGTAGTTAGCTTCTGTGGCGAAAGCCTCAGAAGTTGTTTTATGATTAACTCAGGCAAGAATTAAGAATATAGTGGCTGGCATGGGGCTTGGGAACTGGGGAAATGTGATGATAAATGATGATGTTCTGATTTCAAAGAGTCCTTGTACTTTTTGTGAACTGCTTTGCCCATGTAATGATTAACCTGTGGCAAGAAGAAAGAATCATTTTCCTTGTTGAAAATTCACAATAAAAGCCCGAGGTTTGAAGCTCAGGTCAGAAAGGAAGGGATAAAGAGAAAGAGAGAGAGAGAAGAACCTGCCCTGCAGCTGATAACCTGTCAACTTGCATCAGAATCCTGTGTTCGTGTACTGACATCGCCTTCCAGACATCCCAGATTCAGGACAGGCGCACTTCTCTGCTGAGGCTGTTCCTTGGCAATATACCACAGGTTTTGTTATGTTTCTTTTTCCTTCTAAGGATTCTTAAATTGTTTTTAGATGCTGTGTAACTGATCCTGAAATCATTGAATATATGTTTAGCTTGATAACTCTTCCATTTCTCCTTTAATTCAGAAAGATCACTTCCCAGGTTATGGTAATATTGATTAATATTGCTTCATTCAATGGTCTTCTGACTCTGAGTTTCTATTCAGATATCTGCTGGCATTCTGATTGGTTTGCTTTATAAGTAAAGGTGACTTGAACTGGTCAATAGTCTTTGTTCCTTCAGTTCTTTTAGGATTTTAACTGTAATGCACCTTGAATCGGTATGTTACTGTGTTGGCAGAGATTGCTCTTTTGTTTCCCAGCTGCTCAAATCTGAATAACCACACAGAAACTATATTAATTATAACACTGCTTGACCAATAGCTTGGGAATATTCCTGGATAACTCTTATATCTTAAATTAACCCATTTCTGTTAATCTGTGTATCATCACGGGACTGTGGTTTACAAGAAATTTTCCCAGTGGCTCTCCTTTGGCAGCTATATGGCATCTCCCTAACTCCACCTACTTTCTCTCTATATCTCTGTTCAGATTTTCCACCTAGGTTTACTCTACTAGGCCACTGACTGACAGCTTCTTTAATAACCAATGGTAATAAGTATATTCATAGCACACAAAAGGGAATCCCACATCATAACTGATTATATTTGGTTGGTGTTCCAAATGTCTCCTTTACTTGGGCATATACATTTTTTGCAAGAAGAGGGAAATTTTGTATTTTTTCCACTGAATAGGTCTCCTATGGTTTTAGTTTATACTTCCATAACACCTCCAATCAAGCTACCCTGATGTTCTACCTTAGTTTCTCCTTACTTTCTTTTTGCCACACACTGACCCTCAACTCATGTGGAAGAACTTGGCTGCACCAGAGGTCAAACAGGCCACCAGAACTCCAGGTAGGTCGCCCAGCCTCAGGGACCACTCCCAGACTCTCAGTGTTTGCCTACCCTACTACTATTCTTTCTTACCTTCTTCATTGCCTTGTCCCAGCCCACATTCAGTTAGAGACCCTTCTCTAAGATATAGGCCACACTTGTTTTGGAATAGAATATTTGTTAACTATGTCAAGATGTCTCACATTCATTTGTGTTGCAGAATATTACTTAGCTATGTAAAAATGTGTTGCTTTTGTTTATGCTTCATTTGAATAGTTGAGCAAATGTGAGATGATTTTGTTTGTGTTGCATTTGTTTTAGTATGCAAAGTTGTGTTTTTATTTCTTCTTTCCTGCCTAAGGTACCTGGTTGGTCTAATAATAAGTGGAACTGCTAAGAGTTAGACAGAGGAGGGATAGGCAGCACTGGCAGCCAGAAAGGAAAGGGGGCCAGCATGCTAGGGCTAGCCAGCTGGGGTCCAGTCAACCAGGCACCGAAGAACCTATAAAGTCAGATATACAGAATGGAAGATAGGTAAAAAGTCTCGAGGCAAAACTTAATTGGAGTGAAACAGGATAAAATAAGTTTAAAAAGCTATCTAGAAATAAGCCTAAACTAAGGCCAAGCATTTATAATTCTTAGTAAGTCTGCATGTCATGATTTGGGGGCTGGTAGTCCAGAAAAGAGAGCAACACATTCTGACTTCTAGAACTCCAGGAATGCCTCCTATCAGGGGATAACCCTTACTCTCTCAGTTCAGGCCTCCCAATCTATCACCAGTCCCCACCCCACCCCCCATTTTTCCTTCTCACCATTTCCCAACCCCTAACTCCAGAGGAGATGCCCTGCTTGACCAGGGACCACACCAACCATCAGAAGTCCAGTCCCCAACTTCTGCTAGAAAACCTCTGCTCAACTACAGGTCACACTAATAAAATCAAACATATCATTACACAGGATTTCATAATGAACACTCTAAAGACAGAACAGCCTGGATAACTGTCTTAAAACTCTAAGAGACCACAGGTACCAGCCTAGACTATAACATCCAGGAAAACTTTCAATCACCATTGATGTAGAAAACATGGTATTTTATGACAATGTCAAATTTAAACCATATCTCTAGACAAATCTGTTCCTACAGAGAATACTAGAAGGAACTATCTAATACAGGGAGGTTAACTAGGCCCACAAAACACTGGAAATAAATAATCTAAGAGCATGAAAATCAAAAGAAAGGGATACACAAACCAGCACCACTACCACCAACAAAAAATAATAACAATAAAATAAGAGGAATTATCAATTTCTTTCACTAATATCTTTCAGTATACATTCTCTTAATTCTAAAAAGCACTATAAAGACTAACAGGATGTATACAAAAGCAGACCCCATCACACTTTTGCACAAAAGAAATACACTTCTAAATCAAAAATAGAAGTTACCTCAGAGTAAATGTTTTGAAAAAAGATTTTCCAAGGAAATGGACCTAAAAGGCAAACTGGTCTAGCCATTTTAATATAAACAAAATAGACTTCAAACACAAACTAATCCAAGGGAAAATGTATGGACACTTCATAGTCATCAATGGAAAATTCCACCCAGTAGACTTTTCAATTCTTATGTTTTTGGTTGTGAGCCTAGTTTTTAATGGCTGAGTGATCTCTTCAGTCCGACTTTTCAATTCTTAATACCTGTACCAAAACACAAAGAAACCCATTTACTAAAACTTAGATAATGCAATGAACTCACACATATGGAAGGAGACCTCAGCAACCCACTCCAATCAATGGACAGGCATCCAGACAAAAACCACATAGAGAAATAATGGACGTAACAGATATTACACACCAAATGGACCTAATAGATATCTGCATATCATTCCATCCAAGTACAAAGGAAATACACCTTCTTCTGAGCATCTTAAGGAACTTTCTCAAACAGGGTCAGTCAAAATCCTAGTCTCAACAGAAATAAGAAAACTGAAATAACCTCCAGTATGCTATTAGAACACAATGAATTAAAGCTTGATTTCAAGAACAGCAGAAACAGCAGAAAGGCTACAGAGCAAAGTAAACTGAAGAACTCTCTACTAAATTACTATTAGGTCAGGATAAATATAAGAAAGAAAAATGATTCCTAGAATTTAAAGAAAATGAATGTAAATGTATCCAAACTGATAGATCAGAATGATGGCAGTACTAAGAGGAAAATTTATATCACTAGCGCCTACAAAACTTTGGGGGAATATTAAACTAACAACTGCATACATGAAAGCTCTAGAGAAAAGAATAAAGATGCAAGCACATCCAACATCCAAGAGGAGGAGGCAGCAGAAAATAAGCAAACTGAGGACTAAAATCAACACAAAAGAAACAAAGAGAACACAAAGAATAAAACAAGGAGTTGTTTTTTTTTTTTTTAGCAGTTCAACAAGATTAATTAAGTCTTATCCAAACCAACTAAAAGATTGGGAATGAACATTGGAATTAACAAAATCAGGAAAACATAGTGGGGCATAACAATACACACTAAAGAAATCCAAGGAATCATCATGCCATGCTTATAACCTGTATTCCAAAGAGTTGGAGAAGTCTAAAAGAAGGAATAATATCATTTATTGATATCACCAACCAAAGCTAAATCAAATCAGATAAACAACTTAAATAAACCTATCATTCCTAAGGATAAAGAGGCAATCATTTTAAGTCTCCCAACCAAAGAAAGAGAAGCACAGAATCAGATGATTTTAGTAAAGAGTTCCACTAAATTTCCAAAGAAGAGTTAATACCAACAATCTTCAAATTATTCTACAATAGAATAATAGAAGCAGAAGGAACACTGAAAATTTTATTTCATAAGGACATTGTCACCTGATACCTAAACCATACAAAGATTCAGCAAAGAAAGAGAATTATCAACCAATTTCCCTTAAGAATATAGATATAAAAGTACTCAATAACATAGTAACAAACTATATCCAAGAACATATAAAAAAAGGTCAACTACCATGATCTTCATCTCAGATATAAAGGCAATTAAGAGCAAGTCTATAGTCTACATCACATGAAATGGAGAGAAACATAAAGCAGTTCCATTAATATCAACAGCAAGAAAAGACTGTCCATGTTCTCCATATCTTCAATACTAGAAGTACTAGCTAGAGCAATAGGACTACTAAAGATGATAAAGCAGATACAGATTGAAAATGGTGAAGTCAAAGTACCATTATTTATAGATGACATGGCAGTATAAATAATTAACTCCAAAAATTCAGACAGGGAACTCCAACATCTGATAAACACCTTCAACAAAGTGCCTGGACACAAAATTAACTTTTAAAAGATCAATATCAAAATCAATATCAATATTTTATATACAAATGACAGGTGAGTTGTGAATGAATTCAGGGAATTAACACCCTTCACAGTAGCAACAAACAATACATAATCTCTTGGGGAAACCCTAAATGAGCAAGTGAGATAAATCAGGTAGGAGAGCAAGGGAAGAAAGAAGACTGTATAAAAAGAGATAGACTGGAAGTTTGGGGTATTTGGGAGGCAATGTGGAAAACTAGGGCAGTAGAAACTTCCTGGAACATGTGAAGGTGACCCTAGTAAGAACTTCTATTAATGGAGATATGGAGCAGAGCCTGAACAATCCAACCTGCTCAACTAGGCAAGACTTCCGGTGGTAGAACTGGGACACAGTCACAAGACCTTCCAGCTATGACCTTCCCTGCTTGCCAGATGTACTGAGGCAATGATAGCTCAAAGATTCTTTGCTGACTCTGGCCATTTATATCATTTGACTGGAAGGAGGAAAAACTAGTTTGTTGTGCTTATTTGCAGTCTCCATTCTTCTGGTTTTGGGTGGTTATCTAAAGTGGATTTAAGACTTGAAAGATATCCTAAGAAAAAGCACAGCAGGTAGTACACCATGAGATTCCTAGTTAACTTTAATGGGAAACCAAATCACTCATTACTAAGTTCAAGAATTCTTATAAAGGATAAAATGAGATATAGTCTTATTGGGTTGACTAACTCTGGTCTCTTAAGCCTATGCG